AAGAACATTGTTGATCTCTTTCCGGAGATATTTTATAACTTACACGAGGTTAAACTTAAACAAATCGTTGCACGTAAAAGGTCTAAGCGTCGTCATGCTTTGCGAGTTTAATTTAAGTGTAAGAGGAACAAAGAAGCAGACGATTAACGCCGCAATTAAACAAACATACACCTGCCAAATCTTGATTAATTTCAATTGCACAGTAGGTTGATAGATTCATCGCAGGTGGCACCACTATTTCCTAACTTGTGACTACATTTCTCAGTTAGTCTGTTACTAAAACCTGCGCTATTGACTGGTAGCGCCATCCGTGGCGAATGCCTCAAACTGGTAGACAAACGTTACCGATGCGGCAATTCACGCGGAGTGACGTGTTTTATTCAATATAATTGTTTATAATGATTACTAATATATAACGTTACCAGCCTCTAGGACAGCCTGTTTCCCAAATTCCTATTGGCTACGACTATCTCAGTGCTTCTCATTGCTATTTATTCAACCATGACGTTTTAGATTATGGCTATAGGCGCCATCTATGCAGCAACCCCTGAAACTTCTAGCCAAATAGTATCAGCTTGATTTCACTAGATGGCGCAGCCACCTATTCTATGGCTTTCCCCAGGCGTGAGCCATGGGTTCTCTAGCGGATTCCATGGGTTCCTCTGGTGGGTTCTATGGGGAACTCGATGAGGTTCCATGGGGTACTCTATGGGGTTCCATGGGTTTCTCTAGGTGGTTCCATGGGGGTCTCGATGGGGTTCCATGGGTTTCTGTAGGTGATTCCATGGGTTTCTGGGCTCAAAATGAGGAACCTCATACATCAAAAGCTCAAAAGCTCTCGTGCAGTGCAGCTCATACTTAAAGCTCTTGATTTTCGAGTTTTCAGCCTTTTAACTCTCCTCCCGAAATAGCTCAAAAGCTCGCAAGCTCACTTGCCGTGTGGCTCAAACTAAATAAGCTCTCTAATTTCGAAGTGTACGATACTTACGAGATACCGTTGAAAACTGGCTGCACGGAACATGTTACCGCCCTCCTTTTCAGACTCTTTTTAATTCGGTACTTTCCAAGAAATTCTCATCGGCGATAAACAGAAACTTAAAGAAGACAGTTTACACTATAAAAAGAACTGAAAGATGGGCAAGGGTGAATAAACAGTCTGAAACGCAAAGGATCTTTTACCGTTCGTTTTTATTAACTTGCAAAATTACCTTAGTTGTCTACTCATGCACAGATAAAATATATAAATAAAAATGTAGGTAAATGGTGAACGTGAGTTTATTAATTGGAGACTGCGAAAGCATGCGTGCGCAAGTTCAAGCCACGAACTTTGACGTCGGGGATCCCGAGCGCGTGTCCCACGAAAAATACTAGCTTTCCTTCTCCCCCGGTCGGGGATCGGAAGATCGGGACACGCGAAGAATCGTGGCGCGCGGACACGCTCGACTCGTCTTGTCACGTAACAGATCGCTAGAGAACAGTGATAAACCTATTATAGAGTAATGAATAAATATAACAATCGAAAAAACATGGCCAAATGCAATGACGAATAACCAGACACGTTCCTTTTTTTGTTCCTCGCCCGTTATCGCGACACGCCTCGAACGACCCTTCCCCGTCCTCGCCGATGCGTCGAACGCCGCCTCGGAACGCGCCTCAACGTGTCGCGACGAGGACTCCTACGAAGAGATATGCACATATA